AAAGAAAGAAAGTATGCCTCTCTCTAGGGTCTGCTCTGTTTTTCTCTTTGCTGTTATAATTCTGTACTACAAAACCCTTTATGTTTTTTTCTGACTAACCCTGGGCATTCTTTCTCCGTGATGGAAGTCAGGGAATCTGTAACTCATTCTGCAGTAGAAAGGCTTTAGGGTCCTTTCCCCTGCTTTGGCCACCTTCTCCAACCCTATCTGGTGACAACCCAGTGGTCCTTCTCCTCAGGTGGCGCTTGTTGTGTTGAGAAAGGCCAAACGCCCACAAAGCCCCTGAGAGGAGTGGGGACTGGGAGCCGCTGGCAGTGTGCCTGGGCCGACCCCTTGCATGGAGCCAGGGGAAGCGTGGGCATTCTCTTCCCTCCTTTCAGGGTTGATCGCTTCCAGGATGGGCAAGGTGAAGGATGATCGTACCTGAAGCGCATTCACGAGGCCCACAGACGCAACAAGCAGCAGGGACAGCAAGGCCGGAATCTGCATGTTGGAGGTGAGCCTGGACAAGTTGGTTTCTCTTTTTGGATTTCAGTTTCCTCATCTGGAAAATTGCAGTGGTGATCTGTACAGTTTAATTAAAGGACACCTCGCGTGTGTCACGCCCCGTGCTTGGGACAAAAGAACATCACAAAATAAAAATGGAGGTTCAGAAGAGAGAGAGGAAGCTTCTTGTCAGAAGTAATTTGGGAGACTTCCTTGGAGGAGAGGACATATGAGCAGGGTCTTGCAGGATGAACAGGAGAAGACATGAGCGAAGACTAGAGTTTGGGGAGGAAAGGGGTATGGAGCAGCAGGAATAGCCAGAGTGAAGGCACCAGAGGTGCGAACTCTGAGGATGTGGAGGGAAGGACGTGCATCCCGTCTGGCAGAGCTTGCAGTGGGGAAATGGGACTAAGATGGGGGAAGGGACTTGCCCACCTTGTGAAGGGCCTGGGCAACCTTTCCCGAGCCAGAGGCCAGAGGTGCACGTAGGCATGCAGCCAAAACCACTTCTAGGCACCAACAGCACCCAAGGAGGAGAAAACAGAGGCCCTTGAGTGTTAGGAGAGAATAAGAGGCCCTTACTTCCCCAAGGGAGGCAAAAAACCACAGCACCCTGCACACCTTCCCTGAAGGTGGGCACACCAAGGGCCCAAAGTGCTCCAACACTGACCACCCAGTGTCAAGTCACTACTGGGATAGATGTCCCTAAGCCAGTCCTGCTGCTGTGCTGTCTCCTCTCGTCTTTTCTTCTCCCTTTGGTTTATTTTGTTGCAAAGTAATACCTGATTTTGTGTGTGTGTGTGTGTGTGTGTGTGTGTGTGTGTGTGTGCAGGGTCTCACTACACAGCCCAGACTCATAGTGGTCCTCCTGATTTCTGCCTCCCTAGTGCTGGGATTACAGGCACGCGCTACCATGCCCAGACTCCATCACTGGCTCAGTGTGCCCAAGGGCGGAGCCGGCGGGGCATGGGAGCCAGGGATCGAACCCTGGCCCCTATGCTTACCTAAGCAAGCTCTTAGTCTGCTGAGCTATATCTCCAGCCTTTGTAATACCTGACTGAAGTGGAAGAAATGGTTATATGTCTTTGGTTATGAGTCCAAGACTTTCTTTCTTTCTTTCTTCTTCTTCTTCTTCTTCTTCTTCTTCTTCTTCTTCTTCTTCTTCTTCTTCTTCTTCTTCTTCTTCTTTTTGTTTTCTGTTTGTTTTTGGGGGGGTTGTTTGTTTTTGAGTGGGCCTTGCTATGTAGTGCAGGCTGACCTTGAACTTACTTATGTAACCCACTCACAGGGATCCTCCTGCCTCAGCTGCCCAGTGCTGAGATTATAGGCATGTGCCCCAAGCCTAACTCCTTCCTGTTCTCTCTTCCCTCTCCTTCCCTCTCCTAGGCACAGCAGCCAGTGGGGAGAGTGTAGCCAGTGATGTGGTGGCTCCCAGTACCACTATACCATATTCAGAGCATATTCAAGTGATATATTTACATATCATTTTCATATACATATACACATATACATACACATACACATACACATACACATACACATACACATATACATATACATATACATATACATATACATATACATATACATATACATATACATATACATAGTTTCCTGCATGAAGCCTGCTTTGGTTTTTTTTTTATTGTCATTAAGAAAAAGGAATGTGCTCCTCCCCTCAGCCCAGCTCGCCTCAGCTCTGCTCTGCAGCCCTGCCGCCTAGGAGGTGCTGCTGCTGCCCCGCGCCGGGCCCTTGGCGCCGTTTGGCTGCTGGGCCCACGTGCCGCCCAACCTCGGGATGCCCAGCCGCCACTACAGCGAGGCAGCTGCTGACCGCGAGGACGACCCCAACTTGTTCAAGATGGTGGAGGGCTTCCTTCGACCGCGGCGCCAACATCGTGGGGGACAAGCTGGTGGAGGACCTGCGTACCCGCGAGAGGGAAGAGCAGAAGCACAACCACCTGTGCTGCGTGGTGAGCATCATCAAGCCCTGCAACCACGCGCTGAGCGTCTCCTACTCTATCCGGCGCGACGACGGCTCCTGGGAGGATATCCTGATCCCAGCTGCCAGTGAGAAGCAGTTGACCAAATCCAATGCACCCAAAGTCAAAGCCAAGATCATCGCAGAAGGTGCCAATGGACCCGCCACTCCACAAGCTGACAAGATCTTCCTGGAGAGGAACATCATAATTATCAAGAGTCTGTTTGAATGCTGGAGGAGTGATAATATCTTACTTTTAGTGGCTGAAGAATCTGAACCATGTCAGCTATGGCTGACTGACCAAATACGGAAGGGATTCTAACTATCACTTGCTCATGTCTGTTGAAGAAAACTTAGAAAGAAAATTTGGGAAGCATGGTGGAACAATTCCTATCGTCCCCCACAGCAGAGTTCCAGAATAGGATACCAGGGGCATCAGAAAAAGACATCGTGCACTTGGACCTGGCCTACACAATGGAGCATTCTGCCAGGCAAATCATGTGCACAGCCATGAAGTATAACCTGGGCTTGGACCCGAGGACAGATGCCTATGTCAGTGCCACTGAGAAGGCCTTCAAAGTGTACAATGAAGCTGGTATGATCTTCATCTAGATACTGGTGGCCCGCTGCCTGGCCACCCGCTCCACCTGTACTTTCTGCAGCCCTCACAGTTTACATATAACCACAGCAATCTTTCCCATGACTCAGTAGATAATGGACCATTCTCAACTAGTCAGCCCAAATCAGCCCTTTAAGAGGAAGCAAGAGAAGGCTAGAGGATCGTGCACAAGCTATGCCAGGGAGCCTCACAGATATCTTGCATTGGACTACAAAGCCCTACTCCAGGGCTGTGGCCTTGCTCCCAGATCCCAATCTGTGCTGACCCAGAAGCCACTGGGAGCTAGTGCTCTGACACACCTAGGTGGTTATATGGCATCTTCATAAGGAGGCATGGTCCTCAAGTGAGTTACCTGAGTAAAAGGGTTTTACATAAAAAAAAAAAAACAAAAACAAAAAAAACACCTAAATTTCACAAGTTGCAAAGAAAAATAAAGCTGTTCTTTTTATGAATTTTATTCTTTAGAATAAGTACATGCTGCTGTAATAAATTTCCTTTAATCACTTAACAAGCCTAACCTTGATTCAAGCAGTAAATGCCTATAAACATAATAAATGAAGAAACCTAGTATTTTTATAACATAACAGTATCATTTATAGCTCATCAGTCGTGCATTGTCCAGCAGGAACGACAAAACCCAGTGGAGAGTCATCTTCATACCTGCAACCAAGAAAACTATTTTTGTTTAACCATCAGGATTTGTTACATAATTATGACATAGTCCAAAGAATGTAATGACTCTCTTATCACAGTAATTAATCAGTCTTTGCTCCCCTTTGAAGACTATTATGTTGACTAATTGGACTGCAGTTGAGGTTAGACTGTCCCAGGAAAAACCATAGGGCCCTTGCTTGGAGCCCATCTGGCTCTGAGTGCTTTGGGGCCCGTTGGCCGTGCTCCATCCCATTCACCCCAGACTGGAGAACTGGGGAATTCTTTGGCCAAAGCATTTTGAAATGTAGTGTCCTAATGGAGTACTGATCCTAGCTGCCAGTGAGAAGCAGTTGACTGAATCCAGTGCACCCAAAGTCAAAGCCAAGATCATCGCTGAAGGTGCCAATGGACCCACCACTCCACAAGCTGACCTTTATTTATGTAAGGATGAGTGCTTTTCTTTTCTTTTCTTTTTTTCTGTGGCCTCAGGATACCTTCCAGGAAGCTCTGGTTTGGCTTCAGGATCTAGGGATCGAACCACAGCATCCTGAGTCTCACAGCTTTGTTTCAGCAAGCACTTAAAACACTGACCTAGGGGCTGAGGAGATGGCTCAGTGGAATAAGGGCTTCCCTGGCAAGCGCAAGGGCCTGAGTTCAATCCCCGGTTCTGCTAAAAAAAAAAAAAAAAAAAAAAAAAACAAAAAAAAAACACTGACCTAATGGGCAGCCTCCCCCCTCCCCCCCTTTTTTTTTAAAATAATGCCCTTTCAGAAATTTTTAACCACTTTGTAACTGTATGACAACCTGGTGATAAAAAGTTATTAAAAGTCTACCTTTTCCAGAAAAAAAAAAGAAAGAAAGAAAGAAAGAAAGAAAGAAAGAAAGAAAGAAAGAAAAAGGCATGTGTTGGGGACTGTGTGACAAGGTTAAGTTGCTGACCCTCTTAAGAAATTTTTAAGTGCCCAGTACCTTGTTGTTAACTGTAGGCATTGTGCTACACCAGAATTGACTTTAAAATCACCTCTTAGTCATTGTTGTAGTCCACAAACATAGTAGGTGCTCAATAAAGAGTGCATTGAGACTGTCTCAGACTTCCAGGAAAATGGTGGAGTGATAACCAGTAACAAATCAACCTTTACAAGATTTGGAATCTAGACACTGGGAAATAACAACCTGAGGAAAAAATGGAGGAGCGAGGTGAATCCCTGAGACCCAAGAAGGATCTCAAGGAAAAAATTGGAGCTCCGTGGAGAAACTGAAGAGGCAGAAAAAGGAAGAGCAATCTGTACTTTCTCCCTGGCTCCTGGCATGAGAAAGGAAAATCTAATCTATAGAAATACATCAGAAATGGGAAAGTGGGAAGACAGGAGGATCACTGTGAGTCTGTGATCAGACAGACTCCTGTTTTCCCACTTCCTGTTTTCCCACTTCCTGTTTTCCCACTTCCTGTTTTCCCACTTTCCCACTTCCTGTTTTCCCACTTCCTGTTTTCCCACACCTCTAGAGGCTTCCAGGGACAAAAATGCTAGTAAAACAAAGCGTGGATGCTGTGTGGTACAACACGCGTGAGTGACTCCAGTCTATGTGACTGCCATATCCCCTGGAGAGAGTGTTTGGTCAGACGCCACTTTTTCTTTGTTTGTTTGTTTGTTTTTTGTTTTTGGTGCCCAGGACCAAACCCTCAGACACCATTTTAGAGAGGGTCCAACTGAAACCAGGACTCAGGGGAGCTGTGGGTTGGCCTCATCTCAGGGCGCCTAGTGTTAAGCTTTCACAGCGACTGGCTGAGGGCCGACCATGGAGACATCCAGGGACAGGGTGCTCTAGTCAGGCCAGCAAGAAACATCCTGAGTGTTATAAGCTGCCATGAC